TTTTACTTCATTGCTACCGTTTACACAGTAGAGAGAAAGTTATGTAATGCTGCGCGAAAAAATGACGAAATTTTGGCAGAAAAACTCTTATTGCCGGGACCAGGTAATGAAAAAGTGGATAAATCCAGTGGATAAATTTAGAAGAAAAAACTTCTTACACGTTGTGTAGCCAGAATCCATGTTTGTGGGACCTTAATACCTAAAAAAATGGATCGATGGTACAAAAAAATAACACGATAATAATATTCGTATATTATAAGCGATTAATTTAAAAGATGGAAATATTTCAGTTGTAACGCTAAACTCATGTGTAATATAGATACCATTTCATCGAACTCCCGAAGACCCTTACTTGCACTTCATCACCTGAAGGATTCACTACATGCCAATCACTTTTTTTTTAATCCAACGCCCACCCTTGGCATGTTAGCCATTTGGCGACGCACCGACCGGTATAGACGCGCAGGCTTTCCCCTCAGCTTGTAGTGATCTGCATGCCCCCAATGGTCAAGCGCGTAGATGGCGAATTACTGTTGCTCATTTAGCGTTACCCGGGGTTAAACCTCGAAAACCCCGGTCAGGATGGCTGGCCCGGGAATCGAACCTGGACCTCCCGACTGCGAAGTCAGCGCGCTACGCACTTCGCTCGGTCCGATCACAAATGTTTGGTTTATCCATATTCTATAAAGTGTGTGAACTGAAAACGACTCCAATGTTCACGTAAATACATAACTAGTAAGCGTCTGCTTTGCGAGATTGCTGAAGGCAGCGCCTTTAATGGATTCCATCTCATGCGTCTACCTTCCGATGTTTATTTTTTCTACGTAGTTACTGATGCAAACTTAATTATGGTATCAAACCCTTTATATTACCACATTTTATTTTGAAAACAGTTTTTTTGTTTTTTTGAATTCCGGGGATTAATTTCGTCTCTGCCTTTTGACATTATCAGAACCGACATTGTGCGTGATTTTTGTTTCTTCAAGTTATTATTTCCTGAGAAGTATATGGTAATGACCTCATAATAATAATAATAATAATAATAATAATAATAATAATACTGTGTAAGCCTAAGAAAGTAATCAGTAATAATCTAGCACGAATAATGTGAGGCAACACAATTATAGCTGACAGGACGGTTGAAGCAAACATCATAGTTAGCGAGAACAACTATAATTGTTGATGTTGCAGTACCTATTGTCAACTGTTGCTGAGAAAAACGAAAATATTAGTCACTAGCCGTTGAGTTGAAGGATATGTACTCATTGCAAAGAGTGGACATTGTACGTGTGATAGTATCGTCAAATGGTGTAATTACAAAGAATTGGCAGATGGCTGAAAAAAGACTGAGGTTACTAGAAAAAACATCTCAAGTATGCAAAAGGCCGCTTTACTGGGTACGGCAAGCATCATCAGAAAATATTTTTCTTGAATAAAGTGAATGAAGGGCCAAGGAAGTAAAAACTTCCAAAATAATAATTAATGGAGGACTGCATGAAACATGTTAGAACACTGTATGATGAAACTCTTCACTATAGCAACTCCATAGTTTTCCAAGTCTTCAGACGTCATGATCCGATATTTCTTGAGAAGTAGAGGAGTAATAAAGAAGTATAATAATAGTAATAATAGTAATAATAATAATAATAATAATAATAAACGAGTAGTAATTTTATTTCCTCTCTACTGATTACGCAGTATAGAGAAAGTATTGAAATGCTCCAGGAAAAAATGGCGAATTTTCTGCTCTTATTGCTGGGCCCTGGTACGAAAAACTCTTCTTGCTGGACCCTAGTAAGGAAGAAGTGGATAAATCTTAACCTTATGAACTGTAAATAATTTCCTGTAACACGTTGTGTAGTCAGAATGCATGTTTTGTGGGACCTCGATACCGAAAACTCGATTGACGACAAAACGCCTGTCTAGCCGTCTGATGTAAACGGTAGCGCTTAAATCGTTCAGCCGGTTTTCTCCAAAAAAGTATTTGCCAATCTGAATCTGATCCGGCGTCTTGAATTTGAAACCGATATTTTCATTTTGGGGAGTACTTTGCATAAAGACCATGGGTCATTTTCAAAATTAAAAAAAAATGCATCAAAAGTTTTGATTAAAATTTGTTGTTAAATAGCGTAAAGAACGCTTAACTGCAGGTTTTAATTTTAGTTGAAATCCTTCATTTTTTAAAATTGCATTCCAATTTTTTTGTCTTTCTTCAACGAAATAAATTGAAAATAGACATTTTTTCTTAATTAAATCTGTTTTTTAAACACAGAGTTTGCAAGGTCAAATACAATTTTTCAAAACTCTGACTAGTTTCCGAGTATTTTGCGTGAAATATTGGCAATTTTAATTTTTTTAAATTTATAAAAAAGATCACCAAATATTTGATTAAAATTTGACCATGGATAGCGTAAAGGACGCTTAAGACAAGGGTACAGATCTAATGTTTGTTAAAATCTCTGGTGTTCCGAAAATTGCAAAAGCTCAAATTTTTTATTTCTTCCTTCAACTACAACTACTTGTGAAAACCATCTTTCTTCTCAATGAAATGTGTTCATCAAAAACTTTATTTGCAGGGAAAATAAAAAAGGTAACTAAACAGGCAACTTATTATCTTGACTCTTCACAATACCAATCAGGACAACCATCACAAAATCAAAATCTCTCACAAAATCAAATCTATTTTCGGACATCACACACCTGAATATAGGTGGGGCAAATATGCATGAAAATATATCTTCTGTTGTTACATTTGAGTTGTTAACTCCAGCCATCAGAAATTATTCAAGCAAGGCTTACTCTTCCATAGTCTCAGTGTTTGAGAGGAATCGTTGTTTTAGTGTGTACTTCGGAGGACATCTTTCAATCTCTTGTTTAGTGTAAACAACAATATGCTCAAACATTTCTCAAGAACAAAATAATTGAAAGCCTCAACAGCTTTGGTCAACTCAAGCCGGCTGTCCCATGTTAGTAGATTTACTTGCATGTAAAAGATCCTCAAGCCTAAATGACGTCTCTGAGCTAAATTGAAATCGCGTGTTTCTCGCCCAAGAAATACCTCCTTTCTCTGCTAGCTTGTGAAAGAAGCGTAGCGAAATTTGCGTGGTTAGACGGAAGAGAAGGCCTCATGGCCTGAGTCTCGCCACGTTAAATAAGGCATAAATACAATGCAATTCAATATGCGATACCAGTTTAGCGATACCATGCTTCTGATACACATGACTCCTGTAGTTTAGTCACGATTTAAAATGTGAAACATAAACTTAAAGATGCAGCGAGGTAGAAACATCTAAAGAAAGAGTTCGTTATGTGAAAAAAGTGGGTAAGAACAATGCAGTATAGCTAAAGGTGACGTAAGTAGATTATTTTGTATTCCTGATGCAAATTCAGCGCGTGAAAGAAACTCACGTGCAGCTGATAAATCTTATTTTAGAAAAAAACGTGTAACACTGTTGCGAAATAATTTATGACCTTCTTGTCATCCATAATTACGGAACAACTATGTAACAATTACATTTTCATACATATTTACGTTGTACATGTTGCTCAAACAAATGAAAAGAATATGTATTGCTTACCTAGTTCTGCACCTGCTGCTGTGACCTCTGAATCAGCCCACCGCCAGACAGCCGGTCGCGACTTTGCGGTGAAAGACAAAAACCTCCAGTGAGCAAATGGTCGCCTTCTTGCACTCTATGCTGAGAATAATACTTCCGCCTACTTCGCAGCTACCTGTTGACAGAGGAGAGGGGGTTCCGTTTTCCAATCAGAGGCTTCAAATTGTGATGATGTCACCACAGAGTTACTGACGTTTACTAAAAAAAATGAAATCTCGCGAAGCAATAAAAATTGAAGAGCGCCGACCGCTATTACTTGTTTGGTTATGTGTCGTCTGCGGTTCTAAGTCGTCTAAATACTTGTATATAGTGATAATACTTAAAGGCTGATATACTTATGACACAATGTGTATGTACATCCACCTTAAAGGCCATTTCTAATTTTTATCTTTTGCTAATGAACTCGGTTGGACGCATCCTTGAAAACGTACGTAAATTACAGGTTAAGTTAGTAACTTGAAAAAGTACTTGTATTGCTACTGTTTTGTAATCATGGACGTTCCATGAAAAGTATGTACTCAAACCAAGAATGTCTCGAGATTAGATACTTATTTCTTATAAATCTTTAATAATACTATGCATCTTACTTTTAAAAACGCTTCATCTGCTTTGCGCGTGTTATGCACAAACTATTTGTTATTCCTTGTTATTGGCGGGATCAGTGTAAGGGACTGTGATAAATTTGTGTAATAAACTTCATGAAATAAACTAGTGTCATTATTACAATTCTACTACAACACAATAAGTTTGATGTGTACGCATCAGCAGCTGATCTAACGCAAGAAGGACCACATGTCTGCCGCCGGAGTAAGCGACAAATCGCTCTCCCCCACTGGCAGCTGTCAAGTCGACAGAAGTATTAATCGGGCAACTTTTCTTGAACGATGACCTACCTTCCCACACTCTGGTACATTAAGCAGTTGAAGGCAAAAGCTCGCAGCGAGCACTGATGACAACACTCCAACAGATGGCGCGAAATAGAAACTATTTTCTGTTGAAGAGTACTTCTGTCCGTGATTTTCTCCAAAACATTGTAACAGAAGGCAGGGGAAAATCTATCACAAGAGATACTCATTGGTTAGGCGGAAGAGCAGGCCTCTATGGCCTGAGCCTCGCCATTAATAAAGCCATTATTATTATTATTATTATTATTATTATTATATTATTATTATTATTATACCTCAAACTCCGGAGAAAGTTAAAAAATTGAGTAAGTTGCGAAGTCATGATGATCTAGCAAGAGAATTGACATTGCTTCATGAACTCTAGTGGCTGATTACGTAACTATTACCCCCACTCTACCCGCATTTCTTCAATCCATCGTTGAAGAATAGTTGTATTATTCGCAGTGAAGTGACCGTTGTTCGCATGCGCCTGTTGCAGGCGCGCGGTGGCGCGACTTGCGGGCAACGCTGAGCCCTGCCTTCTCGTCGGGCCGCCTGGCTGCGATGGTGCCGCTGGTGGGGAAGTGCGCGCAGCGACTGGTGCTCCAGTTGGGCGAGGCCTGCGTCAACCACGTAGCAGGTGAGGAACAGCGGGTACAAGTCTATACACTGCGAGTTTTCTAACTCAGCACGTGTAGTCAGATGTTCTCGTGGCTCAATGGCGAAGCCGCTTGCCTTTCGCTATTGAGGTTCCGCGTTCGATTCCCGAAGAATCCCCGCAGGACCTCATGTGAAATTTGTTGCGACAAAACGAGTTTGCATGCTTCACAGGGATTAGTCCAATCCCCGTGAAGTGTCCTATACCCCAATCCTCATTTCTTCCCAATTCTGGCCGTTGAGTAGTGACGCAGGGGCACATAGTAGGAGGCGCGTATGCGAAGATCTACTTGGCGGTCCTCTTGACAACTGACTGCGACGACACGTGACATTGTAATATTAATGGAGGATTACTCCGAAAGCGCAAAGCGCTCATCACCCCATGGGGCTTGGAGACGCGTTGTATCAACTGAAGGCACATCTTTTTTTATTTTTTTTAAACAAGGCCCGTAATTCTCAATGGCATTATGTCACTGTATTTTCAGTCTTTCTTGGTCATGCCACTACATGTGGCATGATCGTAAGCGGATCCAGCACTACTATACGGTCGTGATCATGCGATATCTAGCGGACCGACGGAGAAACACAGAAAAACAGTGACAATGCCACTGTGGAATAGAGCCTTGAGGCCTTAGGCCTTCATGGCGTTTGAGGGGCAGGGTAAGAAAAATCGCAGTATAGTAGGAGTCCATAAGTGTAGGTTTACTGCGGAATGGATTATTATAAATTCATTGTACTGGGTTATTTGTGAGTTTACAACGATTCATAAGTTTCGCTTACTATGGGGTTGAAACTCAGGAGGGTTTCTCAGCATAAACATTACAAGCTTGTAGCGTATGCAGACGGGTCGAAAGTTATTACTTTTGACAAATAAACTTATAGTGGGAAATTTCATACAGCAGAGTTACTTATGTGACCTTTTCACTTAGGGGATTCGTTATACAGAGATGTTTGGCATGTCAGGTTATGCACAGATGTTTGGCGTGGACCAGCGAAAATCTTCGCAATCGAAGATGCTTAACAATATGGGGCAAATATCAGTGTAAATATGTAGATAACTCCATTATAAACAGTTTCCCAATACACATTCATTGCAAAAAGTGATCATTTTTAACCCTCTACATAACTTAGAAGTTTATAACATTTACTTTGAGTCACCTTGTATAGTACGAGCAAATACTATGTAAACAATTCAGGACACATTGAACCTTTTCTCATACTTTTGATGGGAGACAACTGCTCACTAGCGAACCTAGTGACGTGACCTGAAAAGTCGGCAACTAATTCAAATATCAATACATGTACAAAAACTTTCGAATGACTCTGAGAAACGTAAGTGAACATCGTCGTAAGTATACTAAAAATCTTTCAAACTTACACACTTCGTACTCAATATATCAAGGGTTATAACAGGTCGAGCTACTAGGGTCGCTAGCTTCAAGTGTCTCCCGATATATCGCAGAGTATTGTCTCTAGCATTTCGTAGGAGTCTAAACGAGTAGGCCGAAAAATGAATAATTTTGGATCAGGTTCATAAACTAACAGAGTTCAAAATCATTCAATTTCGGTCGGGTTGTATACACCTATTTTTCGTATGCTCACCTCCCAATTTTTGGTTTGAATTTTTAGAGAGATATCATTTATACCATGCTTTTTCGTCGTACAGGTGAAGATGTTCTTCTATATTATCGCCTCTGAAGTTGCAAGTATTGTCACAATTGTAAAGGAATTGTTGTAGAATTTGCGGCTAGTTTTGGCAATTTGTTTCGAAAGTATGGAGAGTTTAATTTCTCAAAAATCAAAGGAATCATATGAAAGAGAGTATGAACTCTTTTTAAAATGGAAAAGATGTAACCGTAAGATGTTCATTTACCTCAACTATGCTGGCATATCTCTAGGAACAGGTATTACTTCAATTTCTGTTGAAACTTAATGAACGGAATACGTAACAATTCCAAGAACAATATTTCAGAATATTTACATTCTTTTTAATATAAATGATAAAAATAAATATGTTAAAACATTCAGTATCCAAAAAAAATAATAATAAATATTCTTTGCCAATGTGTTAACACTCCATGTCAATTGTACATTACCTTGTTTACATTACCATGACGTTGCCATGGTAAACGTCCTCTAAAATTCATTCTTGGCCTAGGCCGCCGAAGCTCAACTTTGTACCATATAAATGTTCTACCAAATATGGGATTTGGAGTGAGGATACGAACAAAATAATTTCTTAATGGTAATGAAAATAATATGTCCAGCAAAACCGGATGCATGAAATCCTGAAACGGTGGGACCTAAGAAATAGGAAACTTCCTCTATTTAGATTAATTATGAACACGTAACATTTTTACAAGAAAAAACTATTAGTGAGAATGTAAAACCTCTTTCTGTTACAAGTTTACTACAAAAAAATTGCATTCACCCTTGCAACTTAAAAAAAATGTGAGTGGTATATTCATAAGTGAATTCCTCCATAGTGGGACGAGCACATTTTGAGCTTGAATTAGTGAGAAAAAACACTTTCCCAGGGCATCAACTTTTTATTAGTTGTAATCCCTTTTAAGCGTATTAGGCCGTAGATGTTTTTCAATTTTCAGATCATTTGCTTTCATTCTAATATATAGACAGTATTGCTGAGTCTGACGTATGATTGATGGGCCGTATGACGTGATGTCCACAATTAATAATAATAATATAATATAATAATAATAATAATAAATATAATAATAATAATAATAATAATAATAATAATAATAATCGTCATCATCGTCTAGCGGAGAAAAGATCGGTATAGACTGCCGCAGTACCATGCGGTAATCTTCAAATACAGCTAGTGACACAAAAAAAGGGTTAACCGCCGTGTTCCGAAGCGCTGCCTTGGGGCACACCTCCAAATACAGCTTCGTCCGAGTTTGCTGAGTAGAAGTTGTGTCATTATCGTTGTCTCTGTAGTGACTGATATCGGAAGGGCCTAGGGTTCGCGGCGGTGAGGGATTTTCGACCCTAACTATAAGCTAAACTGTCTGGAGGAGAATTCTAGCGGGCGGCTGTACTGATGAGGAGTTTCCCGTGGTCTCCGATCGACATCAGGCGAATCCCGGAGAAGTACGTTAACAAACCGATAGATCCACATTCCTCTTGTCCTACATTATTTTTCCCACTCTACCGCAAATGTCAGGAAACTAAACGGGAGCTTGTAGCTAACACACGCTAGGGTGGTGCCCTGCTGGAGGAGATTGACTTGAGGGAAAACGGGGATGTGAGTCGGCGCCGAAACTTACGTTCCAATGGCGGAGGAACACCGCCACCTTTCGGTATCGGCATGTATTACCCACACGGGGCTAATAACCAGAGCAGTTGACGCGCCCAGAAACACCAATTAACGAATGAAGCAGCCGAAGGCAGCAGGGTCGTCCCAGAGGGTAGGGCAGGTAGGGCAACTTGCCCCAGGCTCCCACTTAATCGGGGCTCCAAAAAAGTATTCAAAAATTTCCTTCAATTCGTTTAAAAAAATTGTTGAAATATAGGTTCACTTAAAATATGTTATAATTAATAATTATTACTGTAACAACAACAATAACAATAATAATAATAATAATAATAATAGTAATAATAGTAATAATAGTAATAATAGTTAATAATAGTAATAATAGTATAATAGTAATAATAGTAATAATGTATAATAGTAATAATAGTAATAATAGTAATAATAGTAATAATAGTATAATAGTAATAATAGTAATAATAGTAATAATAGTATAAATAACTAATAGTAATATATGTAATAATAGTAATAATAGTAATAATAGTAATAATAGTAATAAATAGTATAATAGTAATATAGTAATAATAGTAATAATAGTAATAAGGAGAATAGGGATCTACGCCCAAGGTCTTGTTTCCTTGCCCTGGAAGTGCGCAGTGAGCGAGCGGTAGCTTTGCCGCAGGTTGGCTGGCGCGAGGAGCGCTGGGGTGGAGCTGCGCGAGGTGGATGGGCGGGCGGTGGGCGAGACGACGGCGAGGGCGGCGGTTCGGCGTGGGAAGGCAGGGCGGCGGCGGCGGATCGAGGAGTGCCTGGCTGCGGGCGCCGAGTTTGCCGACCGGCGGACGACGCGCGCTCTACAAACTGGGCACGCCCTCGCGCGGGGCTAGCGGAGGTCTCACGCACGCGCCACGCCTCTACATCTGCGCATGCGAGTCGATGATTTCATACATGATGGTAAAAATTACGTTATACTCGATGTAAAAATAAGTTTTAATACTCGATGTAAAAATTACGTTATACATCGATGTAAAATTCGTTTATACATGATGTAAACATTACGTTTATACATCGATTGTAAAAATTACGTTTATACATCGATGTAAAAATTACGTTTTATACATGATGTAAAATTAGTTTTATATCATCGATGTAAAAATACGGGTTTATACATCGATGTAAAAATTACGTTTATACATGAATGTAAAATTGCTTTTACTCGATGTAAAAATTACGTTTAATACACTCCGATGTAAAAATTACGTTTATACATCGAATGTAAAATTACGTTTATACATGCGATGTAAAATTACGTTTATACTATCGATGTAAACATTACGTTTACTTACATCGATGTAAAAATTACGTTTATACATCGATGTAAAAATTACGTTTATACATCGATGTTAAACATTAGTTATCATGATGTAAAAATTACGTTTCATACTCGATGTAAAAATTACGTTTTACATCGATGAAAAATTACGTTTATACATCGATGTAAAAATTACGTTTATTAACTCGATGTAAAAAATTAGTTTTTATATACTCGATGTAAAATTAGTTTATACATCGATGTAAAAATTACGTTTATACATGATGTAACATTAGGTTTTTATAACATCGATGTAACATTACGTTTAATACATCGATGTAAACATTACGTTTATACATCGATGTAAACATTACGTTTATACATCGATGTAAAAATTATTTTTTAAACATCGAAGTAAGAATTATTTTTTAAACATCGAAGTAAACATGATGTTTTAAACATCGAAGTAAACATGATGTTTTAAACATCGAAGTAAACATGATGTTTTAAACATCGACGTTAACATGATGTTTTAAACATCGATGTAAACATGTTTTAAACATCAAAGCAAATATGATGTTTTAAACATCAATGTAAACATTTTTTAAACATCAAAGCAAATATGATGTTTTAAACATCAATGTAAACATGTTTTAAACATTGATGTGAGCATCGATGTAAACAGCGATGTTTTAAACAGCAATGTACTAAAGTCGATGTTTTTAGCATCAATGTTTTCTGCTCGATATTTTTACGCTTTTTTATCTATGGTTTGTGAACGAAAAATTCCAATAATAAAATTTGGTGATGGTTAAAATGCGAAATAATAACTGATGGTACTACTGTTAGATTCTATGTTCGATCCAAAAGAACGCTGTTTAGTACCTCTTCAACGAGTTGTCACCAGGGATGACCCCAAGGCCATGGTATTTCCTACATCTTTCTTTGTCTTTCGAAAGCGTTTTTACGTTTTTTAACTTACATATTCATTATACATTAATGAACTAGGCTACTGTCAAGTTCAATTTTGTTGCGCACGAATTTAATGTTAGAGCTTACTTAAGCAGTTTTAATATCCCCAATGGTTTTTGGCCGATGTTGCATGATTTCTCCAAGCTTCCTTCGTTTTAGCTTGCAAATATATTTCTTCTGGATATTCATTGGTGTTAGAAAGATCAGTGATAGTCAATAAATGTATTATTTCAATTGTGATTGTAATTTAGTAGAATTGAACGTTTCGTTACGTTGTAAACAATTTATTTTAATGTATTGACGTTACACTAATATTATCATTAAGATCACTATATTTGTATCAGGATAAATTTATGAATTCTAGTGTTTTATGGTAACATAAGTATTATTGTACTGTGAGCGGCCAATTGATGGGGCAACTTTGCCCGGATACGTCGCGAAGAATCCCAAATGAAATAACGTTAATTGGGGAAACATTATAGTCTATCATACAAGAAACTCTACAATTGTACCAAATGTAAAACGCCCCCTCCACTTTGCAATTTGTTTACAATTGTGGAATTCGGGTGAAATATATGATTTATGATATTTTGCGAAATTGAGATTATTGAGTTGACGCGTTTCTTATGATGGATGAAAAAGCTCTCTTTATATCACAGCTTTTTGTGCAGTTCTCTCCACAAAGTTAATTCGATCTTGCACTTTCATGAAAAAATATCTAATATCGGTTATCATTATTGGCGCCGGAACGTCTAAAATGTGATTAATCTAGAGATATATAATTGTCACCATTCCCGTCACATCGTTGGACGCAACTACGCTCGGAGAATATATTCCGTAGTCGTAAAGAAATCCAAATTGTGAACATGTTACTGAGTAACAAATCATTTTAATTATTACATTTGTTGGAAGACGGTTGCTCCGACCGGGCTTCGAACCCGTGCCTTCTGGTTTACGCCCTGCTGCTCTAATCACTAAGCCACCGAGACAACCAATCGTTTGAACAGTTTTCATGAGCGCCACCATTCCCGTCACCTTGTTGGACGCAATTACGCTCAGAGAATATCAACCAAGTCTTTGAACTAATTTAATTAATCTGGAGATAATAAATTTACTTAATGAAAGCGGGGAAGCTTAATCGAAAAATGTTATCGAATTTTATGTTAAATAATGTGATATTATAATAACAATATTATTATTGTTTAAAATATTGCTTTAATTGATCAATTCCTTTAGATCAATTTACATTCAAAGTACTTCTTCCAAACACGCTTGATTTCCGCAAATAATGTGAGACTTGCGCAACATAACACAATTTAAATTTGGATAGACTCAGGAGTCAAGAAACGTTATTGTTCTTGACATGTGACATGTTAACAGTAGCTGAAATGTAAGGTTGCTTATTAAGAACGCAGCATACAATGCTGATGCACCACCCCGCAATTTGCTAGGCATTCCTTTTCGGAATTAACACTTGTTCTTTATCTTTTTTCGAGATACGATTTCCTGTACCTTTGTTTTAGTACTGAACTGAAACTTGGATCAATGGATGCAAACAACCTCATTCATTCTTAACATTCCGGTTGTTAAATGTGTGTGACATTGAGATTGAATGTAAAACTGAAACTACCACGTGAAAAATCTTCCATTCATGTTTTAACTCATTTCTCACAATCGCACCAAAGCTCGCAACAACATGACGCTATAATTATATGCACACGTGAATTGCATTCCTGCCGCATACTCCCTAATCAAAAACTGAGTCTCAATTATCCTGAAAGTACTCGTACTTCTTGCATTTCCGAAAGTTAAACTCAGGAGTTTTCCAGGTAATATCACCAGTGCATGAGAATGTGCATGCAATTCAAGGGCAGGCTTAGTATTTGAAAGGATTTTTCCGCTTATGAATTTAAATACTGTTTAGTTAGTAACTCCCCTTAATACATAACAATATTTTATTAATAAACATTAGATCAATATTCAAGAATCTCCGTCTCAGATACATTACTAAAATAAACACAGATCACCAATTCCTCTTATCATTCTTTGACGAAATAGAAATTGTAATAAAGATGTATGCATTTTGGATTTAGGAATAAGTTGCTTATTTATCACAAATGTAAAACTTGTATGCCATATAATAGTTACATGCCATAGAAAAGTATGAAAATAAACTACAGAAAAGTACTTACTTTTTTATCACGCATCTTACATGATGAACTTGTATTAGTAGTGGGCGTATTACGTTGGAGTACTGTAATCAGTTGACCTCTCTATTAGAAATATGACCGTTCGATTTAGAAGATGCGATTAGAGAGTGCGAGAGTAAATGAAATATCGATTGCGTCATATGCGACAACGCCATATCCGCACGTGACACAAACACTATCCAGTAATGGCTTGTTATATCAACACGTCAGGAACGAACCGTTCACAAGTAGGACGGTAGCAAATATTTAAGCGATGGTAGTGTTACACGTTTTCATTTTTGACTGCGGTTACATACGACTATCCTAAGTAACCTAAGAAGAAGAATCTAATACTGATTGAATGAAAATTTAATTTAAAGGTTCCTGGTGAGTGGTAACTACATACTTTATAACTGAAGTCAGTGTTTTATAAGACGTTATAAGGCTTAAAAGTATGCAATTGCTTACTTTTAATAATTACAACATCTTATAGAGCGTTTTGTGATTATTTCTTCTATGTATGAATGAGTGCTGTCAAACGTCACAACTCATGTTCAGAACGGCTGTCACAAAACAACGCTGAGACTCTCTGAAGAGCCCCCTAAAAGCTCGGCGAAATTTCAACATTTGTTTCCTCACAAGACCCTACAAAAATGAGATAGGAAGATAGTAGGATTTGAAAGATATAAGTGATAATGATTATAAATCATTGAAGTTGTTCAACAACCATGGCTATAAATATCTCATCAAAGTATGGAAATAGAAAAAGAAATAAATAATGACCATTTCAGATTGATCTTGAGATATTATCACATTAATATCCATTAGGAAAACTAAATAATGAAATCCTGAAACCTTCATCAACACGTTACAGACGGGAAGTCATGACGTTGCCGATGTCACGTACGCCAACCGGTACTCTTTTCCTGGTAAAGCGACCGCTAGTCACCAAATGTACGGTTCAGATTCGATATATAATGGTTAGGGATCGCATCAACCACAACGTATGTTACAATATAATTTTACATTAAGCATACGTGCATCGGGAATTATATGTATCCCATCTTCCGTGACTCCAAGTCTGTTGGAATAAACACGTGGGACTTACCTCTGCAAAAAAGGACTACGAAAATTAATAAAATAAAGTGTTCTTTATTCATTTTTATTTATTGGGCCAAACAATAACTGTCTAAAATTTTAAAGTGCGAACTTTATTATAAACCTCTTATGTTCACGATCGGGAACGTTGCCGTACGTAAAAAATACATGGAAAAAATTATTCAGCTTCGAGTTTCCAGTTAACGATTGTTATTTCCTTTTCATTTGATCGTTCAACGTACAATAAATTTATTTTCTGCAACAATCTTTTCTTCTCCGCGAAGTGATTTAATTATATTTACTAAATTTGGAAAACTACTTGAAACTCAGGAAACATAACCATTTTTTTTGTGTGTGTGAATTAACGAAAGAATTTTTCGTAAAGAGACTCGGGGCATACTCGTAAATTTCCCAGTAACGGTAGTAGGTTTGATTTCCCTTTACATCAGACTTGCAAAAAACTGCTTCTGAATCTGAAAAGGCCGTTCTGGAACGGCATTGCAGCGCGTTCCTGCGCCCATGCAGAGAACAAAATGCTAACATTCCAGGAAAAAAAAAAATTGAACCGGTTGTTCGGAGTCTGAGAGTGCGGGTAGTCACGCTACAAGTCCCCGAGTCGTCGTGTCGGTTCTCCGCTCACGCGAAGTGTCTGCGGTCCGTCTGGCGGCCCCTGTGATGCGCCGCTGACGGGAAGCCACGCCTCCTCGCCACACAATGGGCCGATACGGCTTCGCAGACACGAAAAGTAAAAGGATATAATCTAATAGTGACACAGAATGACACAGACGTCCTCGCGATAGTTAGTTTCCTGATATCTTTGGTCTCGGTTTTCCTCAGCCTTTTCCCACTTTCTACCTACATGCTCCTAAAAGACGTTTTCTCAATTGTTCGGTTCTCTATTAGAAGAAATGAAATATGAGTTGAGAAAAATTACAGGGGAGTGAAATTAAGCCCTAAGTACCAATTGTAATTAAAAAAATTAGAGCAGATTTAGAGCTGTTCGTGCGTTTCTGAAAATGTTAGTTTCGAGCTAATTTTCACAGAACACTTTTACAGAAACATCATAATAAATCATTAGATGCACTTGTACTTAGAAACCAATAAAGTATAAAAAATACCGTTATGTAAATATTAACGTCATGAGACATATTAAAAAAATACATTTGTATAATTAAAAAAAATGAAAAGGATACCTAAAAAATCCTTGTTTTACAGTACTTTAAGCAATATCCGTACAAAACGTTAAAACATACGGAGTCATTTTTGAAAAAAATCTTATTCTTTGTGTTGTACATGTTTCACTCAAAATTGCCTGAAAACTACTGATATTTTTAAAATATGTTCTTAGCATTAATTAAAGATTTAATTGTAAAGAACAAATTTTAGTTCCTGAAAAAAATTCAATAATATAATTGTGGGGGGGGACGAAAAATTGCAAACTTCTCCAATTTTCGGAAATTGAGGGTTAATAGTGAAATATGATATTAATATAATAACTTATATCATATTTATAAATTCATTTCACTATATTCTTACGAGAAATTTAAAGAAAAAATTGGAACCGTTTTAAAGAGGCTTTGAAAATGTATCAGATTTATGTGGATTATCTCCAACATTCAAATATTTATTTTCACACCACTTCAACTCGAACCAGATCGATTGGGGAATATTCATTTTGGAAAAAGTATTATGAAGAGTTTAGGCGCAGGCACAGACAGACGGATATTTGAAAGAAAAGAAAAAAAAATCGGTAAGAGGGGGCCCCAAAACCTGTATTTATGTTGAAATCTAGAAATCGAGTTTTCGCAGCATTGTATAACTTTCTCTTTTGCATCTATTTCTCTTTAATTTTCTCGTATACATACGTATATAAAGTATATATCGTTTCCGCTTCAAAATATTTCATGCCTCTTTTTGTAGTTAAAATATTTGAAAAATGTATAATTTATGTGAGATATATGTTAAAAGGAAAAATGGGAATAAAATATCTTAGCAAATAATACAATTCTCAACAACAATTATTTATAGCTTATGGAATGGCCAAGTATTAGCTATGACAAATATGGAACACAAAGTTGCATTTCTGCTTATTAGCAGATTAAATATAGGTACATCAGAAGAGGTTCAATGACATCGCCCAGATATTAAATCGAATACTCCATGAACTCAATAAAAGACAGCAACTGGTACACGTGACATCATTTGCCTGCAGTTCATTATAGATTTGAAAGTAGAACTAAAGGTAACACAAAGCGAATGAAAGCGGGATATATTCATTTAATCTTGTATACTCGGGAACCATTAAACATTTTGAGTGCAAATGTGTAAAGCAGATAAAAACGACCGTTTTTAACACTATTTCGACCCACAGTGGTAGCTCCTCGGGCTCCTTCCGGCTTGCACAAAGGCGCTGAAGCTATACCGTCTGGCCTGCCCGCCGCGTTAACACGCGTCGAACCCTCGCAAAACGCAATCTCGCCTTTTCGCTTTCTCATTCAAATCCAATGATATAAGTTTAACGATCCGATAAAGAACTCGGGGTCGAGTGCAAACGGGGTCGTGTTAGCCACGAACTTTCTGAGGGACAGTCCAGAGGATCATGTGGCTTGTAAAGAAAAAGAAAATGAAATTTCCCAGCAGCCCTTTAAGGCCATGGAAATCGTTTGAAGTAACATTAAATTGTTTCGTTATACGTTTGGATAGTCTTCGGTCGGTGTACCTGTTGGCGTGGTGGGCAGACATACTGAGGCGGTCACTATGTAAGATTTCTCGGAATCGCCCGAATGCATTCCGTAATCAGGTTTCCCTCGCACACAATTCCCAGTAATCCCCCTTTCACTTTTGGGTTCCTCAGAAGACGTAGCCCGATTGCATTCCGATCGGTGTTTTGGGAAGGGGAGTGAGGCAAGAATTTAGCTTAATTCCATCCATGTATAACGCAAATACGCAGGTGAATGTGTGACAATCATCAGAACTGTACGTTTTATCTAATTAAAATCTAATTATTTTAATTCTGCATGTATTAGGAAAGACCCTCCTTGGACCATTCCATGGTTTACGTTCAAATAAGTTGTATTAAATTAAAAATATTCAATACACTTTAATTCCCAAATAGCAAACTTTGAAGCAATGCACTAGGACCAATATTAATTATATTTCTCCTTAATATTCAAATACGAAAGCAAAAAGCAGGCCTTCGAAGCACTGATACATAGACCAGCTTTTCTTTGCTTCTTCGAGATACATTAAAGAAGCACCAATTCACTTGTTTTCTTTCGGAAGGGAAGGTAAGGAGTTCGTCCCATTGCATACAATCATGGTATGTAAAAGAACCTAATATCTAAGACAACTCAGAGCAAAATTTGAGTTGGTATCTTTTGCTAAAAGCAATCCTTAGACCAGAGAGAAACGTAATGCTACCCAACACTCTGTCACGTAGATCTCAAACCAAAAAATGCTTAATGCTACTCATTCCGAGTTTCCTCGAAACATACATAGATCCTAATTCTAGATGATAATGATGAGATATTACTGATTACAGCGGTTTTGACAGCACTCTGGTGGATCGACACGAAGAGAATGAAAATGGACAACTCTAATCACATTAGCGCCAATTTTTCGATAATACGAAATTGTTCTTTCTCCTTTTCTCAAAACATTGCGAGAATATCCTATGCTGGAAATATGGTCCCGAATACCATGTGTACAAGAAATTCGAAATACTAGTAAGAGGCATGTGTATATTAAAACAAGACGGGGAACGAAGCATATTTATAGGCCCCCTTTCCCATTAATTTTTTTATTTACATAAGCTATATTTTACTAGAACATAAATCAAAGTTACGACTAGAATATTGAAATTACAATTTTAAGAACTTAATTAATAAATATATTTTAAGTCAAACGATTCATAGTTCCCAGATGACTTGGATTGTCTCTTAGCCAAATATCAAACAATTCTCCAAATTGTTAGTCTCAATAAGGGAATATCAAGGATTGAACATATTTACCGAAATAAAATGTTTCATTACGAAGGGTGACAGAGCCCCTTTCAAAATGTTCGGGGAGAGAAGGGCATGGCTCTCCCCTACTCCTTCACCATGTGAGTACGCCTATGACGAGTTAATGGCCACAATTTGGTGGCAAAACTATCCTGAAAAAGACCCCCTGCTTATTTTAGCTTGGCTGTACGTTCGTTGCTGTTCATATAGGGAAGATATGTGCGCATAAGCCCTGTTCTGTGTTCTCTATAGAGCAGTTCTGTGTTCTCTATAGAGCGAAACATCGTCAATCAGAAAAAAGTGACTATCGTCCAAAACAGTGCGAGCAATGCATAGTCTGGAGAACGAGGTTGGCATCGTTAGATGACGCCCCAGCTGAAAACGTGAAAAATAACTGGTCGACTTTGGGTGCTTCGTCCCACGATTAAAAAAAGAACACGTAAAATTGAACAGAAAAAGGCCACATATCCCGACTGTGTTAGGGCTGTAGATTACGTAACTCACTAACGCCTATGGCGAATGAGGAAAGGTGGACCACAACCTTCCGTGGCACGCCAGAGAATGCTGCCGACCTAGTGACATGATGAAAGGAACTGAAATTTCCTGATGGATTACAATTTGAAACTGTTCTTAACTATTCTCGCCTGTAGGCAACGTCAGATCGGAGTTTGCATTCCGCCGTTGTTGGCACGAGGTTAATCAAAGTTTAACGAGCGAGCCGTTCTGGTACCGCTCGCGGTGCGTGAGGTCGATGAGGTCAAGAGCGATCATCACGAAGCGGGATGTTGATGAGGCGGTGAGGGAATTTCAATAACCACCCAAGATTTTAAAATTACGTTGTGCGCAATTATCAGTGTTCGATCACGCATTTTCACCGCTGTATTATAATAATTGTATCAGTTTCTGAGGTAAACGATATTTTCGTTCACATTCGGGCATTTTACGACAAAAATGATGACATATTAGATTTTATGTCATGAATGATTGCGTCATCACACATTCAGCCAATCGTAGCGAGAGAATCGCCGGGAGGTAGAGCTAAACGGAACAGCCGACCACCGTTTACTCGCACGATGTCAAATACCCGTGTCGTCACAAGGAAGTTGTTTCGCAAAATTAAGTTTGATTCTCTTATAAATGTATAATGCTGTTATACAAAAAATATAGTATGCGACTCGTTTATAATGTTGCTTAATTACATTCGTATATATTTTAAAACTCGCTCCTAAAGTCGGTCGTTTTCAAAACATGTACTCATGCAATAAAGCTTAACATTATGAACTAATTGCATAAACTACTATTAAAAGAAGAATGACATCTTGTAAGTGAATTTCCTCTAAAAGCACATTACAAATTGTTAACACACGATACCAGATAAATGTACTGCATCCAGCGTGAATGCAAAATAGAAAAATGAATCAACTTCATATACTGGATACATTCTCATGAAGTTAATATTATAATAACTGAATATTTCTTCGGAGCACATTTACATATCTTCCTTAATTCTCTCTGCTGAGGCTTAGTAAGAAGTGAAAGGCTTATTTCACCCCATATCTTAATACTTCACCTCACTTAGTTGCTGCCTTCATCACTTAGTTGCTGCTCACATAATGCTGCCTTCAGGTTCGTTACTTACGTATGTGCAAAAGGCAAATATTTTTGGAAGTTATACAGATTGAAGATTCTAATAAATTTTTTAACAGTTCTATATGTCTTACTTTTTATTAAAAAGTGGTATGTGGAATAAACTTATAATTTTACCACTCTAACCGGATGACTTGCAAATACGAGTTATTGGCAATTATTCCGTAATTTCTGTTCTGACGCTTTCATACAAAGAACGAATTTGGCTTTCGACTGAAATTTCAACATTTACATCACTTGAGAATTCATTTGAACAGTCGCCAAGTATTATAGATCACTCAAGGCAATCATATATTTTTCGTTCACAATTATCCTCATTACGAATTGAAACACCCTCAGCGCTGCTCCTGTTTTCTGGTTAATTAGGAACCTTGGAACGTCACGTAAGATTTTGTTAATTGCATTATAAGTTTTTCAATATTCTATCTGTAAATTAAAGGATATAATGATCGCGTTAACGTATACAAAATATGTTTTGCTTCCCCAACACAGCTGTGACTAATATTATTCCTTACGTTATTCCTCGTAAGAAGCTAGTTGAGAGTCTATCAGCTGTAGAATGTTCTACAACTGGACCTCAAAAACCAATCAACGTATGAAAAACCTGTTACTGCTTTGTAATATAACGTTTGATGGCTGTATGTTGAAAAGTTGCCATGCAACGGTTCCGAGTTTAGAAGTTATACAATTCGTCTTCCATTTGTTCCATTATTCTAGTTATTCCCTTCTTCACATATATATGGTCCATTTTAATACGCGCATATGGGATGTACAACTGACAGGCTGCGATAACGTTATTTCGAGTTCCAAAGAACTTTCGTAGACTGGGTGATAATAAGTTTGAATCTTCTACTTTCGGCATCAAGTAAAGGCCGAGTCGAAGGTAGCCGCTTAAGTGACAAACTGAACGCTAGCTGCACTAATCTATGGTTTCCGTGGATTGCTCTAATTTCCTCAATTCCACTGGCTGAGTTATTTCGTAATCAGCATTGACGATGTTTCAGCTGCGACTGCGAGTCCGAAGTTCTATACTAGCTAGGTTGACTTCAGCCGCTGTCTGGAAGAGAATTCTAGCGTCCGGCTACTCTAATCTAATAGTTTGCCCTGGTTTCTCGGATCAATTCCAGGTGAATTCCAGAGCAGTACCTTACAACAAACGACCGTGTGATCTTTCCTTCCTCTTCTTCTCCTATTCTCTCTCTCATTCTCCCTCTCTCTCATTTTCTCTCTCTCTCTCATTTTCTCTTTCTCTCTCTCTCTCTCATTTTCTCTTTCTCTCTCTCTCTCTCTCATTTTCTCTCTCTCTCTCTCATTTTCTCTTTCTCTCTCTCTCACTCATTTTCTCTTTCTCTCTCTCTCACTCATTTTCTCTTTCTCTTTCTCTCTCACTCATTTTCTCTTTCTCTCTCACTCATTTTCTCTTTCTCTCTCACTCATTTTTTCTCTTTCACTCATTTTTTCTCTCTCACACACACACACACTCACGCGTGCGTGCGTGCGTGCGTACGTACACTTACATGGACCACACTATCATACATGTCGAGACATCACTCAAAAACGTAGAGCTCGTCCCAGTTGGGATGGAGACAGGATGAGGGAACATGTTTATGGTTGTTATTGTTATTGTTATTGTTATTGTTGTTATTATTATTATTATTATTATTATTATTATTATTATCCCGCTTAATCCCTATTAGGGCAAGGGTCTCTTGCACAGGGCAAAGAGGCTGACATTATAAAGGTGTTCCTCGAGCAGCCACCTCGGGGACCTTAGAGGGGAGATTTCTGGAGGGGAATTCCCACACAGCCAACATGTTGTTCAGCATCGAATTTCACCACCCAACGAGGAAGGAATACCGTCATCTTCCGGAATAAACATGCTCTACACTAACGGGACTACACTAACGTAACCCCACCACTTGAAATGCCACCAGAAACATCATTGTAGCCAATTCCAAGCGGGTTTGCAAGCAGCTCCTTAGACAGCGGACCTTGGATTGAGTGATCTTCCTTTCCTTTTTTCTGTCTCCGCTTCCATCGTTTGCGCTGCGCGATGAACTGATCCCCGTTCCAATACAACTCCTTCCTCTTGATGAAGGAACGACTTTGGAAGAAATTAGAATTTGCGGCTGTTGGGCCAATGCCTCTGAGGATTATAGCGCCAGAGAAAGAAGAATAGTGCATCTATAAAATGTGGATGGAATTAATATTAAGGCTTTGTGTCCTGTAGTGATAACGGTATAAATAAAATACTCGCAGGTCTAATTTTTAATTTTTTCCCATCTTCTTGACAATTATTTCGTAAAGAAACCTCGTAACAAGTTGAATTGGACAATTTCTGGCAATATTTAGAAGTACTGATTTTAATCTTCCTCCGTTTTGTTTTTAGTATGTATATATAATTATTATAAGTATTATATATAATTATAATAAGTATTATAATGTATATATATACACATATATACATATATATATACACCATATATTAATTATATATTATATGTAATAGGTATATATAATTATGAAATATATAAACTTAAATATCTTAAATATTTATAAACTACTGTTATATAAGTACGAAAGGCAGATAGAAATTAGCAAATCTTGAAAAGGAAGATTTAGTTCATCGCACGTAAATACCATCTCATTTTACTACGCTGTAACATTTTTTTATCAATTTGATTTTTTCTCTCATTGTAAGCAAGACATGAAAACGTGAATGTTGTCCTCAGGTCCTGGACATGCAGATAGTGCGTCCGGAGACGCAAGAATACTTCAGATCGCTAGTCCACGCCGCGGTGCGCGCGCATGAGGTCGGAACGCCGGCGGCGGCGGCGGAGGCGGGGGCGGAGCGCGCTGACGTGCTGCATCTGCTGGTGGCGGGGCGACAGGGCGACTTACGCAGCCTCGGCACCGACGAGGAACTCGCCGCCAGGGCCCCCTTCCACAGCGGCGCCCACAAGGCCCAGAACATCGTGGCCCGTGAGTACACCCTTTGCACTCTCTGCTTTTTGGAACGTGGCTTCATCTTGGCTAATTTTAGAGAAGATGAATATTGTATGAAATAATAACTAATCATGGAGTAAAAGATATTCGAATCAAAACATAAATTACGGTCTCCTTGAAAATCGAACGGCTTGGGCAACATTATGTTAATCCTACTTTTATGTACTCAGAATTTAGATATTATGGGAAATGGTATATTGGAGCACCAACTAATGAGGTATACTATTCTTAACAGAGAAAATAATTAATAGTAAACGAATCAACGTCATAGAATAGCCCAACGGGTAGAGGTTAAGTATCGCGAGGGTGGAAAAGAAGTGAAGAGATTCAAAATAAATATATTTTTTATAAATCTATTTTGTTAATTTAATATCGTTTCTTCCTTTGCTTAATTCACTAAATAAAATGTCGACGACACATTCATGACAGAGAAGTTTTATTTTTATCAGTATTTCCTTGGTATTTGGTTTTTGCGGAGAAGTTCTTCTATTTCAGTGAGAGCGAAGGCTTCCGCGGCCGGAGTCAGTATTTAATTGGCTGCCCGGGTGACACCGCGTCCATGGCGAAGGTGCCGACGTTTCGGTCGCCTTCCGGCGAACTTCCTCCGAGTGTAATACGTTCCTCTATTTCGTACGAACAGTGAAAATAATTAATAGTACGAGACTAAAAGAATCAACATCATACAATACTTCACAGGTAGAGGTTCCGTGTCGCGACGATGGGAAGGAACTGAAGAGATTCAAAATGAAGCTATTTTTTAACAAAGCTATTTTGATCTTTTAATATCGTTTATTACTTTGCTTAATTCACTTAGTCACAAGTCGACGACACATTAATTACAGGTAGTTTTAATTGTATCAGTATTTCGCCTTTGGCATTTGCAGAGACATTCCTCTTTTTCATTTTATTTTCCTTTCCGAAGAATACTCGTTTCTCATGACTAATATTCGAAATGAACTGCGCCTGCAGAGCTGTCGGACGACGAAATCACGGCGCATGTGCTGCTCTTCTTCCTGTCGGGCTTCGAGACGACGTGCACGCTGCTCAGTTTCCTGGGCTACGTGCTGGCCGTCCACCCGCACGTGCAGGAGCGCGCGCGCCGGGAGGTGGAGGAGGCCCTGGAGGACGGGCACACGCTCACCTACGAAGCCCTCAAGAAGATGAAGTACATCGACATGGTTATTTCTGGTAGACACACCGCATTTTATTTATTTATTTTTTACTCATTTATTTATTTTTTTACTCATTTATTTATTTTTGTACTCATTTATTTATTTTTGTACTCATTTATTTATTTTTTATTCATTTATTTAATTTTTATTCATTTATTTAATTTTTTACTCGTTTATTTAAATTTTTTACTCATTTATTTATTTTTTTACTCATTTATTTAATTTTTTACTCATTTATTTAATTTTTTACTCTTTTATTTAATTTTTATTCATTTATTTAATTTTTTACTCTTTTATTTAATTTTTTACTCTTTTATTTAATTTTTTACTCTTTTATTTAATTTTTTACTTATCTATATATTTTTTACTCATTTATTTTATTCTTTATTCATTTATTTAATTTTTTAATTATTTATTTGAGTGAGTAAGTATTTATTCCGGGAGAATCAAGCACTGAGGTATTTAGTCTAATAGGGGGAGGGGATGTAAAGCATAGTATGTTTTATGAAAATTATAGTTAATTCTAGTAAAGAGAAACAAAGCCAGGAAGCCGCAGGGCGATTTAGAAAGGTAGATTATGCCGTGAATATTGTCCACAGGTTTTTACTTCGAAAGTTGTATCATCTTTATGCCTGTCGATCACTTCGGGTTAGATTAGTTTTGCTCCATCGTTTGGTGTCGCCAGGTGTCATTCGATGCGTCTGTGTGATGGAAGGGTTGTTTTCGAGAACTTCTAATCTAATTTTTTTAACTCCAATTAATGTGAAATTTTTTTATAACTGCTTAAGACTCCCCACTAAACTATTGTCATGCTTGACTGATTTATTGTGTTTCCATTAGTCTCGTTAGTGAAGGGTATGTGAATTCCTGGGAGGCAGCAGTTTTCCTTCCCTTCAAAAATGCGAGGTCCAGCGCCGAACCGCACTTTGCGTGGCGCGGGTCTCCAACTGGCCCAGAGAAATTTTGAGCAGCCGACCGGCCTCCTGACGTACGTGATAACGTAGAGTCACTAAGATTAAGTGTGTATATGTGGGGGAGAGGAAGTAACTGGGATGAGGAAGGAAATATTGCACGCAGTCCGTGGTTAATTTCCGCGTTAAATTAATGCTCCGGCATTCGCCTGGTATTGGTAAGTAAACACAGCCTTCTGTTAGTATTCCCATCCAGATAGCGACTTTAGCTGGTGCCGAATATCCACTGCCGGCTGGAGTCGAACTCCAGGCCCTCCTAGACCCACTGGCAGCCGCCCTGAGCGCCTCGCGCCACCCCGTGCCCACAGAGACGCTGCGCATGTACCCACCCACGCCCGTGGCGGCGCGCAAATGCACGCGCACCTTCGCCGTGCTGGGCACGAAGAAGCGCTCGGGCTTCGTGGTGAGGCCCGGCGACACCCTCTGGCTGCCCATCTACGCGCTGCACAACGACCCCGAGCTGTTCCCGGACCCCGACAAGTTCGACCCCGAGCGCTTCAGCCAGGCCAACGAGCCACGCGTCTTACCTTTCTCCTACCTGCCGTTCGGCGCAGGTCCGCGAAGCTGCATAGGTAAGCGTTGCCGAAACCGCTCACCGGAATATTGGTTCCGAGGCGGAAATGTTCGGAGTTGCTTCATGCGTTACTACGTTTAGAAGGCGGGGGGAAGTTGGACAAACACAAACAATTACATGAGTACAATGCTTTGCCAGAGTTTGAGAGTTAATAGAGAACTGAGGATTACTAGTGATTGTCGTATCATAACTACCGCTTCCCTTTCACGAGCGAAATAAGGGAAAACGACTTCGAAGAATATAATTCCTCACAATTTTGGTCAAAGGTCTGCAGAGTCAGACGGAATAATTATATGAGTCTACTTTACGCGTCTATAGTAGGTTAAATGACTATACCGTACGCAGAGTGAAGTTCCGATTAATATTAAACTTTACGTAATTACATCCGAAAATTGTTTCAACATTTCTTCTATATTTCCCCCAGGACTATCATAATTAGCGACTAGTCTGAATTAAGAAATATCAAATTATTTTATTGCTTCCATTTCTTGTTCTTCTCTACCTCATCCTTCTGGCAGAAGGTCTTAACACCATATCCAGGCGTCAATGCCAATTGACACTCACCTTGATCTCGAACAGAACAGTGAAACATTAACCTTTAAATACTGACTACGTTTTTGTCATTAGTATTTTTTTCTTTATTTTGACATTCAATATATCTTATTATTTGATTGTATTGTGATACAAATGTTCAAGTTTTTAAAATGAACTCAAAGAGCTTTGTATTTTCGTAATAAATTTAAAAGATTCTGGATGTACACGAAACTTTAAGAACTGCGTAAATGTCGGTACCTAATCTAACGGAATGTTATTCAGCCCCTTTCCGGTACGATACTAGTTATCATAAGCCTCCCCCCAAAGATTCGTTATAATAAACAAAAAAGTAGAAAACGAAGTTGAGATTGTTTCTTCACTATTTTAAGGAAGCGCAGATTTCACGACGCAGTTGCACATTCACACTTTAAAATTAGTTTTTATGTAATACACATTCTTTTAAAAGCCCAAAAATGATTGATTACTGCATTTTGACCTTTAACTTCAATGTTTGGTGTACTGTTCTTGTATATAAAACATAATGCGCACTATACAAAGTGTGTTGTTGTCAATAAATAAAATAAAGAAAACAACTATTTGTGCCCGTTGTTACGAACAAATAATGTTATTGTCCATTCACGATTAAGTCCAAAATGTAAAATTGGAAATAGTAGATAAAATAATCAGTAAAATAAAATAATAACTTTCTTAATTTAAGGATCATGAATCAGTTCTCTGAGTACATACATAATAGTGTCTTCTGTATTAAGCAGAAAAACATATTTTTCAGGAAAAAGTGTTTCACGAGCACCTCCATTTATTTAGCAAATCCTGAGGTGATTTCCAAATTTGCGAGGTTTAAAATTCGAACGTATGATGTTAAAAACACTGCAAATATGTGGAGTTGACTGTGTATTGCAAAAAGTTTTGAGAAATGAGGGTTTGAGAAATGTGTCGTCGCTTCTATTGATGTGCTAAAAGTCTGAATGTCATGTTTAGGTGAGACTACTTTCTCACAGCATGCGGATGCAACACTAAACGTGGACATATCTTTCAACATTCATGTGCCAGAGAAACAAACGTTGCAAAAAATAATTATAGATTTGTAACTTGTCCATCACAATTACGTAGCATATGAAAAACTGAAAGCTCTGCGAAAAAAAGCCGCGAAATATGTAAATCGCTGCCCGGAACAACAAGTCCGTGACTTCATTTTTGGCGGCCGGCAAGGAAATACTAATTTTAACCGACCTGTTGCTTAAGTTTTGATGGCTTGCAGTAAGGGAAATTCCTTAACAAAAATGATGTACTGTATTACATAAACGTGCGTTAGCTCAAAAAGGACAGATTTCTAAAATGAGTATTTGATCCGAAAGAGAGAGTTTTCTTCAGAATGAATATCGTGAAACCGAGAAACAGACTTTCCGATAATCACTAAGAGATCTGCCTCGGATTACTTTTTCCAACATTGAAGCCAGTATTTACAATTAAGTGACAAAAAACAAAGTCGTCTCATTATTTTCAATTATGTAACTGCGTTTTGTGTTACTAATTAACATTGCAAAGTTGAAGAAAAAATATGAAACATTCGCTTGTAAACACTAAAATTTTATATTATCCTTATAATTATTTTAACCCTATAATTATATGTTTTACGAAGTTTGTTGTTTTATTAGTAATAAATCAATACGTCCTGCAAATAAAGCAAACTAATAAATCAATACGCTAGTGATCCACCAAAAAGATGAAAGATAAAAAGGGCTGAATTTCACAGAGGTAAACAAATTCAAGGCAAGATTTTGCTACTAACCGGATTCCAAGGCTTGCTTCTGTCTTGCGTTGAACATTTGTGTGACTAGTTGGAATCTTACAGAGATGACAAAGTACACACGAGAAATATGCATACTACGTGAAACGTAATATCTAGTAACCTTGAGTCAAATAACATAAAGCTGAAGGTTGCAATCTGAAACACTGAGTGCGGAGGTTTATTTCAATACTCTCAGTTACAGAACGATTATTACAGATTGGAGACGACATACAATCCAAAACGACAGAACATTCCTTCAAAACTGACAGTAAATTGTTCATGACGGAGATTTCTAATCATCCATTGCCTCTATCACAACGATGAATTTAATGACAGTAAATATTCCACGTTCGTATTAAACGAAGTAAGATTATTTTAATTCTCACAATTTCACAGAGAAATATTAATCTCAACCTGAATACAAAGAAATAAATTTGTAATTTTTGTATTACATACTATTTTATTATTATTATTATTATTATTATTATTATTATTATTATTATTATTATTGTTATTATTGATATTCCAAGCCATCTGTGAGTAGCCTTTACATCATTATCAAATGTTCAAAATGCTCTACTCAATATTGAAATTAACATAGTGCGATGTACTAAATCAATCTCTTTTTCTAGGAATGCAATTTGCGATGATGGAAGTTAAAGTAATAATCGCATATCTGCTATCGCGATTCCACATCAGAACCATTGACAAAACGCCTGTTCCTCTGAAGCTGACGAAAGGAAGTTGCCAAATGACCACCGACGAAGGATTCTGGGTAGGACTGGAACCCAGGACAGCAGCACGGCACATCCAAGTATAACACCAAACACCAGTGATCAAGTGCCAAGAACTGTAAATCGAAGATGTGGCCCGTCATTTATGTCATTCATACGTATGTTTCAATTTGGTGTTACGAGATATACACAGAAAACACATTAATAAACAAAGCGGTGATTTCACGATGTTGTGGTGCTACTTCAAATCTTTTTTTAAACAGTGCATTTTAATGTTCAATGAATAAATGGTGTTTTTATTTAATAATTCATCAATGTTTCTTTGAATTTTAAAATAAAATAATTTTAAATAAGGCTACGTATTTTTTATTGTTATTTTTTGTAATTTTATTCACTTATCGTATTTTTTTCTCAAACAATATTGTTTCATTCAATACTTTTTTGTATTGCCTGTAAGTAAAATGACTGCAAGGGGCAGAAACAAAACAATTAAAAAATATATCTACAGTTTGATTTATACCACTTCTTTTTCTCCGAAAAGAGACTTTTTTTAATCTTTAGAACAAATTTCTCATCTACATTTGATTCATGCCTACACTATATTAAAGTAACAAGGATGGCTGATGTGCAGCGTACATGCTTCAAAGTGGTCCCGTGTTCAATTCCCGGTCAAGGCGAAAATAGCTTTAGCTTTCTTTTAAATTGTCTGTTTCTATATCTGTCTGACGAAGAAAAGCACAGGCAGGCAGAGTTCGCTGGTTTCGGTGAAGGGAATACGTCATGCCTCTCTTATCCGCAAGCCTGTGAATTACCCTACGCTCAGGCATAGGGAACTCCCTTAGCTGGTCGGCTAAGTAGGACGATTGACCCAAAATGCCTAATACGTGCATACATTTCGGTGGATATTAAATTAATTAAATTCAGTTCATTTTTGATTACATCAATGTACTGTAGTCATCTGTACTTTGTTTCGTGACTATGATGTCTATTAGTTGAAGGGCTCGAAAAGTCAAATTACACTATTTTACCTAGCCACTCTTGAAAGATTTTCTAAAAGAAACATCAGTTTTGAATGTTAATAACACATTGAACTATTTAAACGATATTTAATCTCAATTCCTTTGTTTCTTACAAAGAGTATATTTATAATATTGTTGCAATGCATTCATTCACATTCAATAACTTCTGTTAACGTATTATTTATGTGGTCATAAAATAATATTAAATCCAAAAAAAATGTTCCCAATCGTTGACTTCCATGACAAATATTACAGCTTGGAATGATCGTACTCTGTAGTCGCGTTCTCTATTTGTCAATATTAAAAAACAAAAAAACAAAAACAAAAAAAACAGTAAGCCAGAAACAGTCTTAGTTTCTGTGGATGTTGCTCTCCCTCTCGCATGTTAACCCCCCCCCCGGAAGCGATAGCGTGCATCTCATGTGGAGAATATGATAGGCAGCCAGCGCCGATGCCGTCGTTCTTCAATGCTCTACTTGCCAGAAGCCGCGCGTCTCATCAGGTTTTCATAAACCTGTTTCGTCGATTTCCTCATACGGGCTGGCTCCCGGCTATCGGCGAGGGGTGGAGACACGGTGAACAAGCAATGGCGTTTGGGAAAGAGCGTGGATGGGGTTATGGTTGATAGTGCGGGAAGCAACGGGAAGATAGGCGGTGATGAGTGAAGTAGCACCTTCGCTGGGAGTGTTGTTGTATGGAGCAGTGGTGGTATTGGTTTGTGATAGCGATGAACGACGAATGATTTTGGCGGTGCTGGTTCTGGGGGGATAGATGGATGTGGTGGTGAATGTGGGTAGACACAGGGTTGGGGTAATGGGGATGGATGTGTTACTGGGAAAGATTGTGGTGGTGAGGGTAATCAAAATTAAGTTTTATGGTCAAACATAAATGGAAAGATTGAGGAGAGATTTCCTAATCGCCAAACATTTCTCCTTACGAGGCAGCAAGGATAAACCATCAGTGTTTTTTTTCCTAGCCACAATACACAAGAACATAGCCCACGGCAAGATCAATTCCATATTTATAGTAGGATGAGGGCGGGTCATCGTGGGGAAGATGTTCTTGGGAGAAGTGGCAGTGACCAGCTAGTTGATGGATTCAATAGCCAGAGAGCCGACGGATACAATAACCGAAACAGAATATTTCCATAATCCAAAATAAATCGGATAAAGGTCCTAAACAACTGCAAGAGACATTAGCGGTCTGAGTACCTTGGGCTACCACTTCGCACTCTTCTGAGATTCAATGCTGACACTCCCGGCTTTTCAGTGTGCGAATATGTTTTCTTCATGAAAAGCTCGTGCCGACTGCAAGGCCAAAGCCAGTTGTTTATTTGACTATAATAATAATAATGACCCGAAGAAACAGTTATGAATGTTTTGGAGAGGGTGAATCCTGCAGAAATGCACGCAGTCAGATTTTCGAGGTGGAAAACTTGAATCCAGTTTTATTCTTGCAATGCAATAATTTCATTCTTGCAATGCTTGAAGGACACGTTTCAATTGCTCTTGTTAAAGACCACAGAAAAAATGGCAAAATCCCCAACGAAGCTATTTTCACAAGCTATCGTGTAACTGAACTGTGGCAATGGCAAACAGAGACACTCAGAATTGATTCCTGGGAGAACTCGTTTTCCAACTGATTGCGCGAAGATAGAATTTCAACAGTGTGGGCAAGGAAAGTTCATGAAGATGTGATATCTATCAGGATCAATGTGAGTAGCCTCCTGAGACCACAAGTATGCAAGGGGCTAAGACTGCGGTACATCCAGGTGGGGGTATAGGATCTATTGATTTCAAAGGGAAATGGGTACAAGGCGTTTTCGTAACACAGAAGAAGTGGAGATCTGTGTAGATGGGGTGACTAGATGGTCTACCTGTGCCATATGAAATCTCAAGGGATAGGTGGGGTTATAGGCTTTATTGA